GCGACGGCGTACGGTGGTGGTTTCGACGTGTCTCCGGGCGGCGACGTCTCTTCCGGCAACCGACGCTGTCTGGCCCGCCGCTGACTGAACCTGATCAGCGGACACCGGAATATTCCCATGTCGACGACGACGGCTGTGGCGGCGGTTCCGGGCGGATCAGTGTCCGGCGGCGACGGCGGCGGCGACGACGGTGGTGGCGGCGGCGGCGGTCGCGTACCGGCGGCATTCAAAACGAACGCGGCGGAAACCTGCACGGACGGCGGTGCCGGCGACAAACGCCGCCGACTTGGTGGTGGTAGTGGTGGCGGCGGCGACGGCGGCGGCGACGACGGAGGTAGTATCTAATAAGCAGCTGCAGTAATAGTAGTAATAGCAGCAACAGTCGTTGTTGTTGTTGTTGTTGTTGTTGTTATTGTTGTCGTCGTCGTCGTCGTCGTCGTCGTTGTCGTAATACGGCGACGTCGAGCGGTATCGAAAAACGACCGCGGCGGTGTGCGGAGAAATGCGCGCGCGAAACATACGGTCCGCGGACGAGTGAACAGTACGGCCGGGCGGCGGCACGTATGGGAACCGGTACGCGGCGCACGACTATATTATTGTACGGGACACGCGTGTTGTACGGGCTTAGCGACCACGGTCCCGGCCGCCACCGCCGACCGAGCCGACACCGGTCTCGCGCCCCACCGGTTACCGTTGCCGCCGCTTCGGGTGGGGCGCACGCACCGCATGTCGTTCAGGTGTGGAATTCCAATAATCCGGCAAGAATGCTCGGCGGTGGCGGCCGAGGGTCATATTCTGTGTGGAGCAAGGTTGGTGTGTGTGCGGTGCGCGCCGTGTTTATGTCGTTTGCGGACGTTGTTATTATTGTTGTTGCTCCGGCCCGTGATTCCGATCGACCTGGGTGTATACCCCCACATGGACACGATCTCTCAGCAGTACACGACGGCGGTGTCAATTGCTCCTGCAAACACGCGTCACCAGGAGTGCTACACAAGGCGGTTTCTCTGACGGTGCAGTTCTCACCCCTAATGCTGCGCGCCGAGAAACGACAGCGCCATAACGCATAACGTCGATCGACGTGCAACGCGTAACCGTATTGTTATTATGACGTTATCCACATCGGTCGGATTTCATCAGACCGCCATCGATAACATATCAATTACAGACCCCGAGAATAGACGTCGAAAACGCCAAGTCTTTAGAAAAATAACAATTATTACTCTTTCAAACGGTCAAATACAATGTAACAAATTAATTTGTAAACAATACCTAGGACTTTTTTACACTTGTCGATAAACAGAATTCGTATTGATTTTACAGATTGTTTTCGGGACCGCTCGTTCACGCAGACATTTTTTTTAAAAATAAAATTTTAAAAATTATTCAGAATGATCAGAAAAAAAAACACCAGTTTTAAACAAAATCGATTTTGATTTTTGTTATAATTAAAACAGGAATAACCGTAGAGATATGATATTTTTATCAAAATATATTTTATATTAGCATTTTTTATACATGAAATAACTTAATAAATATATGGTTTTTTTAGCTATTTATATTTTATAGGCATTTTAAATGTTCAACCTTTTTTTTTTATTTATAGTAATAACATTTTTTTTTTTTAAGACAAAAATTAAAATACTAAACTTTAATAAGTTAAAAAAAATACTGAATTCCTAGCTTTGCCCATTTTACAAATAAATACATTCCCGCTTACATCTATAAAAATTTTATTTTTATGTAATATATAGGTTTACGAGTTACTCATGCCTGAAGAAAGATTAACTACAATACTATGAGCCTTTAGGTAGTAAAATAATATTATTAAAAAAAACAAACTACACTTTTAGTTTGAAAAAATGTATTAAATATTAAACATAAATCTTCTTGAAATGAATTTTTAGAATTGTAATATTTGTATACCTACCTATGTACGAGCCACTGTTTATTACGTATACTATATGTATCACTCATAAACATCCATAAAAACTGGTTTTTTAGTTATTCGTCATTGCAAAACTATTTCTAAATCTGAAAATAAAACTGATTTTTTTTTGAAACACTAAAACGAGGTGTAAAATTTCTTTTTAACTTTTTATTAGACTTCCAAACCAAAATGAACATATAATTTATTTGTTATCCAAGGACAAGCGTTTAAATACTGACGTATTATGTATATTGTAAATACTAAACACAGAACGAAGTGTTCAGTCTGAAACATTAACAAAATATGACCTTCAAATGCTCGGTATATATTTTGGCAAAGCATGTAGTACTTCGTCATTAAAAAAAACATCGTAATGGAAAATGGAGTCATGAAAATAATTACAAGTAAATTGCAACATCGAAAATTATTGTTATTGTTTTTTTTTTTTTTTTTTTAATAATGTAATATATAACAATTAACATAATGCAGATTTGAATGATATATGGGTGTGAACATGTCAGTTCATAGAAAAGTATGCACAGATTAAATGCATATGTTAATAAAACATCAAAACAAAAGGCATTCATTATAATTCAAGAAAAAAAAGCAGATTTTTATATTTTTTTTCAATTACTACGTTGAATGATATCAGTGTAATACTCTCAATCTAAAACTACACTTAGTAAAACATTTAATCCACATCAGTGTAGTCTAAACATCTCCCAGCCGAACAATGCATCGCATATACGACATACTATATAAATATCAAATATTATAGTTTATATTAGATCCTAAACAGAGCGATGAGCGTTTTAATTTTACAATGATGTACGTTTATTCTTGTGTGTCTACATGTTAAATAGTCGATAAAATGTTTCGATCTTCGATACTAAAAGTATTGTCTGATAACAAATTAGATCTAGCTTGTACTTAAAAGAAGTCAAAATTAAAAACCATAATATTTTTTAAAGTAACCCAGTAAATTCAATTTTTAACAATATCGATTTTGTTTTTTCGGTGTAACTCGAAATTTAATATGACGAACTAGACTCACTCAAAAGGTACCAACTAAATAGCAAAACGGTTACCTACTTTTGCCATTTTTTTTTTCAATTAAAATTTTAATTTTTAATGCATTTATAACTATAATACGTTTTTTATTTAAATTTTAAATAAATATTCAAAATCAGAAACATGGATACACATATACTTTTTTGGTGGAAACTATATAAATGATTCATACCTTTTAAGATGACATAATTATTAATTAATTTAAGATCAAAAGAAATGGCATACCAAGATTTTCAATCAAAAAAAAAAAAATAGATCGAATTTCGATGAATATTGATTAGAGTTCAATACATGCAAATTAAATGTTTGATTCTATTCGCCACTAGATTTATATCTCTTAAATTAGTCTGAATTTTAAATTACATCCAAGTATTAAATGATACCTAATCTAATTAAACGATTTTTTTAGGGGGAAGGCTACGTGGCTATATTTTGTATCTAAGTGGTCCATGACCTAGAAAATATTAAGAACCTCTAATATAACACGTGTTAATATATGTACTACACTGTACTAAAGTAAATAATATTACTGACGTTAAATTTTTAAATAAATAATATCCTAAAAAAAAATAATGAATTGAATTAAATAATATATTCAATAATTAATTAATTTTAAAAGGAAAATTAACTAAAAGAAATATTTGATGGCAATTATTAAATATGAAATCAATTAAACCTAATAAAAATGGAAGTATTTCAAAAACGTTCACAATTTTTACAAATACCTAGTAGTGTTTTCTATGTTATGTTTTGATTTGAAAATGTGTACCCGAACGTATATATTATGCGGTTCACTCGTTTACGTTCAAAATATAAAGGAATGGAAATGAACACGTCCGCAATATTATAGTAGCACACATAGAATAAAACGGTTCACTGGTCCTTGCTCCGGTTCACCAACTTTCGGACACATGCAATGGGTCGCACGGTACATGCGTCATGTAACCTATGTCTCTATGTGCACTATATTATATAAAAATAACTTCATGTGACCAATAAATTAGTATTCAATATGATTTATCAAGTCAATTCTTTTGTCTGTTTCACTTAATAAATATATACAACAATAATAAATGCGCTTAATAATAAAAATAAATAAATAAATAAAAAATGAAAAAAATATCAAATAAAAAATTTTAGATTCAGCATGTACCAGATATTTGAAAAAAAACTATAAGCACACGTACACATTATGTTTATAAAAATATACTATATTTACATGTATAAAAGTATATTTATGATATATGAATATACGATGCTATTGAGACTTACACAGTTTTAAAAACGAAAAAAATCTTAAAATTGTTCAGCTTCTTTTATCTCTACAATCTCTTGGGTGATAATTTTCGATAATTATTTTCGACTAATTGATTATGGATATTAAAATAATACGGGAAACTTTTACAATATTTATTATTATTTTTGTAAAATTATTAAAAACTAATATAAAATTAAATATTTAAATAAAAACGATGTACTTATAGACTATACCTAATAAATTTATATAGTATTCATGATATGTATAGCACGAGGTATAGCAGCTTTTTTACATTATTTATTGTCAGTATTACCAATAATCATTCATCAAATACTTGTAGAAGTTTAGATTATAAATAAAAAAAAATATGACAAATAGTTCAATATTGTAATGCATTTACAGACCTATTAAATATCAATATTAAGTAGGTACAATAATAGTGTTATTTTTCAGTATCAAAATTATTGGCGGGAAACGAAAACAGGTTTTCTATAAGTATAGGTTTTTTATAAATAATTCTACGTGTTACTCAAACCAGTTTTGCAATCGGCATTGTTATGAACGAGTTATTCATATTTCAAACAGAAAGTACTACAAACCAAAAAGTCGTAAAGTTAATTTAATGAAAATACCGTGGAAATCAAATACAAACGATCTGTTAAAAACGTATACCTATTTAAGTTATAAATTATTTATATTACTTACCGGGTCGCCGAAAAAGCCTGTAGATTCCTTCATTCCATTAGGCCTCTAAATGTCGTCTCTTCATGATTTCTGTAATAATACAAATGAAATCATTATAAAATAGGTGTACTATATTATTTTTATTGCTCGTAAACTTAATTTACTCTATAACTTATAAGTAAAGGTACTCATCATTTTTTATTCCCAAACAATATATTTCATTTTGATAAACTATACTAATACGCCCAAAAACTGAACAAAAGCCAATTTGGCTAAACGCCATATATTTTACTATGATAATGGTTGCCTATAAAGTGGGGAAAATATAAACTCCAATTTACATATTAAAGACATTTAACGATCAATTAATATCAAATGCAGTACTTATAATATTGATTATTGATAAATCGCAATTAGTTGTTACCAAAGTGTTAATTACAACCATCAGAATCATAACAAGGTGATATACCTATTACATGTGTATCAACTTTGTTATACATTTTTTATTTATCTAATATTAAATCAAACCTATAAAATGTTATTAAAATGTATATTACACATTCATTGTGATTTGTAAACATAGGTATTTTTCGTCAAAATATGTAATACGTACCAACTTTTATGCCTTATTTTATTACAAAACCATATTTTTATTTATCGTTCTATACACGACTCCTCCTAACAGCATAACGTAGGTAATATCCGTTAGAAATCAATCGAATTTCACATCACATCATTCCTTAAAATTAAAAATCTAGCGGGCCAAACCAAAGAAAGCAAAACAAAAAAAAAAAAGTTATTCAAAATATGCATTTTAATTAGCATTTATTTTGTTTACAATGTAAATTTTTAACTTTGAAAAATTATATGATGTAACTTGAAAATGAAGAACGGCAAAATAAAAAAGGCTCGCGGGCCGCCAGTTACCCATTCCTGCTTTACGCCATCAATATTTACATAAGAAAATGGTTAATAACCAATACCTGCCTCTAAATGAATTGTATAAACAATATAATCTAATAATGTACAGTTTATTAATAAAGTAATCCAATAGATACACACACAAAAAAAAAAAAAACAACAATGCGAAATCTTATTACAAATTATTTAAAACAAATCCATTAAAACTAAAACTAGATTCATCGACATTACATATTTTAAATAATTATTTACACTTTGAATAGGTTAGTTCTATAGAAAGAAGTGTAGTGCACGACAGAGAACGGTAAACTACAAACAAGGTAAGAAAGTGGGTATTTGGCTCTCATCTCATTTCACTCATCTCGGAGAAAGGTAACTATGTGTCTTATATTTAATAATTAAAACTAATAATTCACTAAAATATTCTATACCTAAAATTGTATTTTTACTAAATACCTATTTGCTTTAACATTTGTATTATCCAATAGTGTTTTTAAGTTTATCTATTGAATAAAATAATTTTACAACCATATACTTGATCATAGCTTAATATAATATATTATAAATTTATATACAATATATTAATTAATTTTATATTTTTATACAATTTATTTTAGAACTCAGCCTAATAAAACATTTGTATAAAGTGTTCTGATCACCTATATTTTAAATCTCAAAAAATGGATTAAAGATACATTTTCAAAAAAAAATCATTTAACACTCAATTGACACACGTATATATGTAACTACGAACTAACTTGTATATCATTTAAAAAATCACCATACACTATTATATTAAGCCTTAAATTGTTTTGTTTTTCTATTCAGTCTTATTTTTCTAACTTAAACATAATTTAAAACAAACATATTTATAATTAATAAAACGAAAATATTTTAGATTACTATCTATACCAATCTTCTTCAAACACAACATAATTTTCAATCAAAAATCACCGATTTTAAAATAATATACATAAAAACATGTAAATATCTCAGTCAATATCTACTTAAGTTACCAATACTTGGTATTCTGCCAAAAATATTTTTCTTACGACAATACCAATGAAAATCATAAAAAGAAAAGAAAAGTTGAATTATAATTATATGTAGTAGTACAAATATTTTTTTGAATAATGTATATGATTTCTGAGTAAACGTATAATATTTATACATCATTTTAAAATTAGGTACTATCTAACAACTAAGATTACAGTTTTTATAATAATATCTAAGCAAATTCAAATAAATATAAGACTCAAATATTATAATAAACTATTTGTGTGTATAATTAAATATAATTTACTGAGAATTTTAAAAAAACTTATGTAAATAATTTTGATTGCCTTGGTAAGTTATTTTTATACAAATATGGTTAGTTATAACTAGGGCTCTGAAGTTGTAGGAATTGCATATTGATCTGTATGCTCTCAATTTATAGCAGACCAAGTTAGAAATCTGATCTGTACAATGGAGAGTTAAAAAATTGAAAATTAAAAACGCATATTTTGCATATTTTTTCAATTTTAGCTAAAAAATAATGTGCATATTTCATTGATTTTATACGCATATTATACATATTTCATATTTCTCAAAAAAATTTGATTTTTTTTCTTTCTTAACCTATATATTTCAATTAATATTTAATATAATTATATAAAACTCAAAATTTTTTAACGAAGGTATTTATTGTAATTTCAAAAATATTTTTAACTCAAAAAGATGTCAAAATTCCAACCAGTTATAAATTGTTTTCAGTTATAAACAGTTTTTATGTAGATATATTATTATTTAATTAATTAATTAATAAGATCTGATGTATTTTTATTTTTATTTTTTTGGAATTCAAAATAATAATTTTTTTGCATATTTAACATTATTTTAATGCATATTTTGTAGTATTTTCGTGCATATTTTGCCTTTTATAGCTGTTACAACTTCCAAGCCCTAGTTATAACTTATAAATATTGAAAAACGGGTACAAGTCGCTCTGCTAAGCATAGTAGGTGTTCGGTGTGCTCAATTTTTTAAAATTACTCTCTATTATTTTGAAAAGTGCTTGAAGTTTTTCAATTTCGACCCTCTAATTATAATTAGATTCGATGACTACTAGCAACTATTCTCAAACTAAAAAGTGTTGAATTAATTTATGACGAACTTTAAATTAAAAAATAAATAATAACACATATATTATTAGAACACCAATCGTTCCTCTCGGGATTTAAAACTAACTGCTATTAATGATTTTATTTTATTTTTTTATTTTTTTGTACGTCCAACAAGTTACATACTGTATTTGTTACACAAACTTAACAGTTATTTTTGGAAGAATTCCATGTAGCTTTGGCATATTATATCTTAATGAAAATCTAAACAATACAATTAATGAATCCTCATTCGTTCTCAGCATATTCTTATTTAAATACCACAATAATTTCTGTCAAATATTAATAAAAATAAGTTGAACATTTAAACTACAATTAAGCATCGTATTACAAATTTAGCTATCTAATTGTTTAAAACGTATCTAAATTGTTCTTCTAAAGCTATAAATTAAACTTACAAATTAATAAAAAAAATAAGATAAAAAAATTTGAATACATATGACATTATGTATAAAAATATGTAACTAGGAAATCTAATACCCTTGAATCCCGGGTTAATTACGGAATATTAAACAAACAAATTAAATAAATTGATTGGTTTTAAAAATTCAATTATTTAATATAGTTGCGAAAAATTAATACAAATTGTACAAATATTTAATTTAAAATAATTAGTAGGTAAAAATAATATAATAAATTATACCATTGTAATACTTATTCAAATTATTTTTTACACGAAAAAAAAATGAAAATTAATAAAAAATAATTATTAATTTTTGTATTGTAATTATTTTAGTTTAATAATAATTAAACTATTATTTTAATAAAAAATAAACAACCATAACAATTGAAAAGCATTAAACATTTTACGTCTACGATAAAACATTAAATATATATATACGAACAAAATCCTAATAACCTAATTACCTCTGATCAATAAAAATTCTATTTTTGTATTTTTACAAATACTTTTAAAAAGTGTATAGATAATATACCAGCTGACTAAGTACTTACTATCTAATAAACCACCCACTAAAAAAACAATTACATACATCATTAACCACGCGTCCACGTAAATATTAACTATAGTCGTATATCACGTATTTCTCACTAAATAGGATGGAAACGAACCCCATGTTCAGCAGAGTTGTACTTATAAAAAGGTAATATTCTCTAAAAAAGACGATTTTATACGGGCATAATATTGTGCAACTAAAATTATTATTTTATATAAACGGCAAAGGAAAATGAATCAGAGAAAAAATAAAACCAACGCACTGGCACACACGCTATAAGGGTTAAAGATATGCATAAAAACCCACCGCTGTCACGGAGTCCTAGAATTTTGGGTAGGGTGTGTAAGTACTGCAAAGGTGCACGTCATGGTGGCGTTAATCGTTACAATATATACCAACACTTGGGCGCGCCCGTGATTTATTGCTGAACGCTATTTCCCGGACATGTGTTGTCATTTCCATTCGACCACGTGTGTGTGTGTGTGTGTGTGTGTGTGTGTGTGTGTGTGAAAGAGAGAGAGAGAGAGAGTGAGCCGGATGTACGGTGGTGTTTCCATTAGTTCCATTGTTTACGATATGTTATTGGATCTTAATAGTACCTATAGGTATATAATGCACAACGGACTTTCTTTTGAAGGGTTGGCTATATATAATACATTAAAAAACTTTTAAATGTTTATAATATAACTATTGTTTTTTCTTTTTCATTCACAGATTATAATCAAAAACAAAATAGATATATTATATATATATATGTATATTAAGTGCAAATTGATTTTATATTTTAAGCTAAACAATGTATGTTTAATATATTAGTTGCACCTACAGTATGTTTTTCATTTTTGAAAAATAATGAAGTACTCGGATATGGTAGTTAAAATCTTGAAATTGTGAATGACTTAAAATAATATTGCAGGCACTAAAACTTCACTCATATGTTTATAAATAAATCGTTGAGATAAAAAAAAATAAATTCATTGCAAATAATTTAAAGAAAATGTTAATTAATCTTTATACATGAATTTATAATTACATATTAGACATAACATGG